AATAAACGTTGAAAAAAAAAAAAAAAGGCCGTATTGAATACATGTCTTGAACCCTCAGGTGTCATGTTAGATGCTGGGAAATGAGAAGAGGTCTTTTCCCTTGTGAAGCTCATGTTCTTCTGGGGATACAGTTAACAATTCCAACCCAGAATGCTAACTACTCTAATAGAGGTACAAGAAAAGCATTGGAGTCAATACTCTGCCTAACCAGGAAGAAAGGTGGGGTGTTAGGGAAAACTTCCCAGAAAGGTGACCTGTACTTGAGTTGTATCTTAGTAGGTTCAGTAGAAACTTGTCAGGCAAGAAGGAGTCTAGGTATAAGTGGTATTTTTGTGCCTTCCTCATTTTAACTACGTTTAACATTCGCCACTCTCTTATTTTGTATTTTCAATTAGAGCTCTAAACGAGAATGGAAGCCACTGGAGGACCGTAGCTGTACAGACATACCCTGGCTGCTGCTTTTTATTCTCTTCTGCATTGGAATGGTAAGGACACTCTCCTAGATGATCAGAACCTGGTGAACTCATGATCCAAGGGGATGATGGGGAATTGGTTTAAAGGGGGAGCTTGTTATTTATTTATTTATTTATTTATTTATTTATTTATTTATTTATATTTAACCCCTCCTGAATTGCTTATAACAGGAGGTCCTAGGATATCATTGAAGCTGGTTATTTTTGTCCCATACAATTCATTGGTATTTCATACCCCTTGATTTTTTTTTTTTTCTTTTTTTAAGCTTACATGAGATAACATTAAGGGGATTGGAACTTTGTCTCTTTTACTAGATCATTTAAGGAAGCCAGATCGTTCCACATAAATTTCTGTGAATTGTGATCTTAATGGCATGTTGACCAGAGCACTGGGCATGGAGTCTTGAGTATTTATCCAACCCAATCACACAAACCTGATGGCTACTTTTGTACCAGTTTTCCTTTCAGGGACTTGGTGTGTTCCTTTGTATAACATTAGAAGTTGTGCCAGGGGGTATCGACGGTGTTTCCAATTGTGACATCTTTTAGTTCTTCCTGAAGAGGTGAAGCTGCTTGCTCACTGCTTCTGCCCATACTAGGCCCCTGCTGCCTGCTGTGTGTGCTGTACTGAGTGGCGTCTCTCAGTTGGAGGTCGGGGGACTTGGTGATTTTCCATTGGGTATAGACGATGGAGGAGCAGAGTCCCTCGTACAGAGTGTCGGGGGTGTGCTGATTCAGACTGCATACCCATCCGGCCCTGCAGGGGTTTCTGACACAGCCTTCAGGGACTTGAGAGTCCCTGCCAGTGTGCTGGGCTGGAAAAGAAGGTTGGAAACAGCGGTTTTAAAGCTAGCTGATGTGTAGAGCTACGGTTAGATTGGACTTGGAAATCCTCATCTGGCTCATCACCCTCATTCTACAGAGTGAGAAGCTCAAACCCAGAGATGGCAATGACCATCCCAAGGCACATTGTTAGTTATTAGCAGGGCTGAGAACAGAATCCCGGTCTCATAATTTCCAGGGCAGTGCTCTTTTCTTCCACCTTGTTTCCTCTTCCTCAAGGGGACTGTGCAGACGGTATCGCTTTCTTTTTCGTGGTCTTTACAAACCAAAACACAAATACACTACCTCTGGCAGCCTTTTTTCACAAATACGTGAGCGTTTTTAACCCCCATTTCCCCATATCTTTTATAGAGCTTCTTTAGGAAAATCTTATTCTGTGTCCTCTGCAACGGTACACCCTGCAAATGCCACTTGAAAATCACAGAACTACCCTAAGCCTAATAGGCATAATTAGCAGGTGCCAGTTCTGAACCTGAAGAAAGGATAAGAAAGCAGTAGACTTTTTAAAGAGATATAATAAATTGAGTAAAATAAGGAGTGTTAGTTTTATTTTTTTCAACGTTTATTCATTTTTGGGACAGAGAGAGACAGAGCATGAACGGGGAGGGGCAGAGAGAGAGGGAGACACAGAATCGGAAACAGGCTCCAGGCTCCGAGCCATCAGCCCAGAGCCTGACGCGGGGCTCGAACTCATGGACCGCGAGATCGTGACCTGGCTGAAGTCGGACGCTTAACCGACTGCGCCACCCAGGCGCCCCAGAGTGTTAGTTTTAAAGATAATAGCTTAGTTTCAAGAAACCTGAGATACTTAGAAAACATCAAAATACCCATTTCTTCACTTATGACTTCTAAGATGTTGTTCAAGAGTCTACCTAGTTTAATGGAGTGGCACCTGAAATGCAGTGTGCATACAGAGTGTGGGAAAAATTTTTTTGTTAACAGAATTAGTCCACCACCTCTCCCCACACCCTGAATCATCCCTGAGACAAACAGCAGCTGACCTTTCGAAATTAGATTTATAAACACATGTACCTGCCACTCCAGGTGCTTTTGATTTTCTACTCTAAAATAGCTTGGGAAAGCATCATGAATGTTGATAGGCTGACTTGGGAGTGACCTGAGAGTAAGGAGTATTTGTTTACTGACATGTTTTAATGCAATGATAATTAATGTTGATGTCAGTGCAGTGGTAATTAAGACCACTGTGGGTTCTTTTTATTTTTCTTTTATTAAAAAAAATTTTTTTTAATGTTTATTTTTTCAGAAAAAGACAGAGAGTGTGAGCTGGGGAGGGGCAGACAGAGAGGGAGACACAGAATCCAAAGCAGGCTTCAGGCTCTGAGCGGTCAGCACAGAGCCTGATGCGGGGCTTGAATTCATATCACAAACCACGGGATCATGACCTGAGCAGAAGTCGGACGCCTAACCTGAGCCACCCAGGCGCCCCCCCCGTCCCCAACCCACTCTGTGTACTTTTAAATGAAGGCATAGTGTTATGTGTCTTGGAAGGATTTTTTTAATGGATTACCTCCATGGAGTTGAGCTAACCTCAAATTTTGCCATGTGGAAACTGGAGAAATTTTCAAGTTCTGTTGCCCACCATACTGGCACAACACAATAGTAGACCAATGTTTCTTTGTCTTCCGTGTATTCGTTTTGTATGGTTTTGAAAAGGTTTGTTTTTTTCTTTTAGGATTTCATCCTATAGTACTTGTCAGAGAAACATTCATCAAACATTTATTGATTTATTGAGCATTGCCCTATGCTTGATGCTTTTGTATGTATTTATCTTGTTAAATTTTCCCAGTTATCTTATGAAATAGGTTTTATCCCTAGCTTATGAACAAGGTGTAACAAGGTTAAATATTTGCTTGTCTAAGAATATAATAATGGCAATACATGGCAAAGATAGAATAGGAACCAGAAGTTTCTGCCTATATTCTTTTGATCTAGTGGCCTTTCTGTCAACTTGTGACCTTATTTTCAAGTCATATCTTTATTCACTGTCCCTTACTTGTAGTTCTTTGCTCATTCCTTGATGTCTGTGCTTTGAAATATGTTAAGATCTTGTCTTATTTCATTCATCTTCACCATTAAATCTTATTTACGCATGTTCACCTCTTCATAAATATTTGTACTTCTCTTTTATTTCCTCTCTTACATTCAAGATTTTTCCATGCTTACTTGCCTTGTCTAGAACTTAGGGTATTTTTCTTTTCTTTAATTTTATTTTAGGTGGGGGGTGTGGGGGGAGTGCACATGAAAGTGTGGGAGAGAGGCCGAGGTGGGGAGAGAGAGAGAGAGAGAGAGAGAGAGAGAGAGAGAATGAGAATCTTAAGCAGGTTCCATGCCCAGCATGTAGGCTGATACAGGGCTCAATCCCATGACCGTGGATCACGACCTGAGCTGAAATCAAGAGTCAGATGCTTAACCAACTGAGCCACCCAGGTGCCCCAAGAACTTAGGTTATTTTCCAAAGCAAATTTCTACCAGCCTTCTTGAGAGCTATCATCTTCCCCATTTGAACTTTCATCAGTATTTTGAAATTATTGGACATACATTTAACTCCATTCTAAAAAATTGCATGTAGCATTGTGCTTCTAAATTTCTATTTTCCTTTAAGGTAGTAATCAAGTGGTTCTCATATTAGACAATAAAAAAAATACTTGTTCCTGGGTCCCACCTCTGATTGTGATTTAATCTCTGTGTTCGATGTTCAGCCAGGATTGAGAGACCACTGTTTTAGGCACCAATAAACTGCTGAAGAGTTTTGAGCAAGAAATGATGTGACCGAGTTTAGGAAGATAGCCCTAGTAGCCAATGTTAAAGATGGTCTGTAAAGCCATTGTAAAGGGGGACCACTTTGAAGGCTGATGGAATAGTTCAGATAACATGTGGAAAACTGGAAATAAGGTAGTAATAAAGGAGAGGAAGAGAGAGCATCAATGTTGCAGGCAAGACAGAGGCAGAGTAAGGATGACTAAGAGATTCTTGTGTTAGGGGTTCAGGTTAGAACTTTTCAGCTCAAATCTGACTCCAGCTTGTAAGTTCCAAACCACAGTTTCTGTACACATGAAGGAACAAAAATAAGATGGATAAACAATATTACTTTATTATTTTTTTTAATTTTTTAATGTTTTTATTTATTTTTGAGAGAGAGACACAGAGTGTGAGCAGGGGAGGGGCAGAAAGAAAGGGAGACACAGAATCCGAAGCAGACTCCAGGCTCTGAGCTGTCAGCACAGAGCCCAATGCAGGGCTCAAACCCACAAACCATGAGATTATGACCTGAGCTGAAGTCAGATGCTCAACCAACTGAGCCACCCGGGCACCCCAATACTAATTTATTAGTCACCAGACAGTCCCCTGATTATATCCAATAAAGAAATCCTTGGTGAAAATGACTTGTAGAATGAAGCTTGTGCCATGTGGGCTGAAGGTCCTTCCCATCTTGGATAGTGCAAGTTCATTCTCTCTCAGGGAGAGAGAGGTATGCATGAGAAGAGGGAAGAGATCCATCGGGACCCTATCTGCCCAGATCAGCTTACCGCAGAAATCAGGAAAGAGAGGCGACTGGATGGCCCTAGTAGGAGTGCTTACCATGGACAGTGGAAGGTAGAGAGACCTTACAATTTAGCCCTCTTACTTATTGCTTCTTACTGTGGACGAGGGGCTGTTCTGTATGTGACACAGAAACATTGAAATTTTACAACTACATTCTCATTTTACAGATAGAGAGCAGAGGCACAGAGATAAGTTCAATAACTTATCTAGATAACACAGTGGCAGCATTGAACCCGGAAGAGAAGAGGTAGAAAAGGTGAGGCCTCAAGAGACAGTCCCTCCTTTGTTGCCTGGAATTGGGAACAACAGATAGTTATTTAGAACATGGATGCGGTAACCTTGCCGGCCAGTAAAATGTTGTCTCATCAGTATTTCAGATTCTGAGCAAACAGTTTAGCATTCTTATTTCCTCTGGCACAGTTAGGAAGCAATAGTGATGGCCAGAAGTGTGGAGGGGGGAGACTGAGCAGTCCCCTCACTCCGTATCTTACATCTGCAGTCCAGTAAAGAATGAAACGACAAATGCAGACAGGGTATGTGCAGGAGAGGTGAGTGGTTTGGGGAAGTGTGGAATGAGAAGATGAATTCGACAGAAGTAGGGCATG